CATACTAATGAGAGCTTAAAAGATTTATTTACTCCATGTGTTCATTATTTGTATGATGATTCACTAGATCTTTTCTTATTCCACAAATGTCATCATAATTAACACCGCTACAATTGGTATCAGAGCTTATAATTCCAACTACAATCAGTATCAGAGCGGGCGTTCTTAATTTGATCAAGAATCGATCCATGATGGCATTCTAGATTTGGTGAATGTTAATTTGAGATCTTCATGATTTAGAGAGTTTTTGGATTCTAGAAATCGAATTCATCTTTGATTCTATTCATAATTCGATTTTCTTCACTAGAATTCAAGTGATTTTTGCTTTCTCTCTCTAGAAAACCCAATCAAAATCAGTTTTTCCCTTTAAAAAATTTCAAGTTCTTGTGATCATGGTGTTATTGGAGTATGATTCTCGGGGCAGTGATCATTGAAGATGTCAAATACAAAGTCAACAAAAATCAATATTATGGGTTATTTTTAAGCGGGTTGATTTCATGGAGTAATCAGGTTTCTTATGGAGGTTTGAAGGATGATCATGAAAGCTTGATATTTCAGTCACTTTATAGGATTGAATGGTTGGCTAAAATTGCCTTGTCCATATTCGTTCGTAGTACAAATCAAAAGGATGGAGAAAAAAGAGACTTGTTTAATAAGAAGTACATTTCTCTAATTAAAAACCCAAATGATCTTCTTGCTCTTAAGTTTGTTGAAGTTCAAGAATATGGAGTTCAATGTGATGTTCGTGAAGTTCATGATAAGAAGATTCAAGTTGATTCTCATGAAGATGAAATTGTTTTGCTCGATTGGAGTTCAAACCGATGATATTTTGTGTCCTTGTGATTCGTTTGAAGGAATGATTCCTTATCGAAAGCCGTTAATCCAAGAAGTTCACAAATATCAAACTCCAAAAGATTTGATTCAAACTTGTAAAGTTGAAGTTGTCAAGAATGAAGTGGTTCTTGAAATCAAATCTTCAAGATGCAAAAAGATGAGAAAGAAAAAGAATAAAAAGATTAAATGGAAGAACAAGCAGGTTTAATCACAAAAATCATCAAATCTTGTGAATCCAAAATCCATAAAGCAAATTTGTGTTCGAAAGTAACAATCTCCAAATGGTGTATTGAATTTGAAGTCAAAACCCAAAGTGTTGATGGTTCTTATAAGATGTTCTTGGATCGTTGAACAACACGAAGAACGAGTTTTACAACATGCATCGTGGGTGGTACAATATTCAAATTAGAGTTTTCTCGTTCCAACAAAAGAACCAAGATCTTCTAAATTTGATTCGTTTGTTGCAAGTGGAACTCGGATCATCAAAAAAGTATCTCAAATTCTCAAATGGATTCCAAAACGTTCATAATTTCGATTCGTGCATTTTTGTTTTTCAATTTTGATCGTTTTGTCTCGGTCGGATCGAATTTGTTTAAAGCCCAATTATAGATCAAATCAGTTTTCTTTCATAGACCAATTCCTAACCATAATCAAAATAAAATTCATATTCTAATTTTTTTACACTTCGAAACCAATGTCCGATATTTGTTCATTGTTCAAATTTCAAAGCCCAATACAAATTACTTTCACTGTTCATGCAATTCAATGTGTAAGCCTATCTTGTTGATTCATATTATTGAGTCCAAATCAAAGTGATCCACTAATATTCATTGATTGTTTTAATCAAGTCCAAATCCAGAGTAGACGTCATTTTACACTTTTATTTAGCTCTTTTTCATCTAAGTTTAATTGTTCTTGAGGCTTGTGGATGAAGATTGAATTTCGAAGCAAACTTAAATTGTTCTTGAAATCATTTGAGATTATTATGTTCGAATTTATGTTTTAAAGCAGAGGTCAATTCTATTTTACTCTTGATTTCATTGATTTGTAATCCTTGTGGTTTTACTCTTTCTTAAATCCTCTTTTCATTGATATTCATATGATCAATCTTTGTCTTGTCTTTTGATTTGTGTCGTCTTTTGATCTTGATTTGGAAATCGAAGGACTGAAGAGAATGGTTTATATGAATATCGACTTGTTTGTATTTCAAAAGTCAACCATGAAAAGTCAAAATTCGAGTTCTTAAAAAGCTGGAAATAAGATGGAAGGGTTATAGTCTGGTAATTAGTATTGAAGGCTATGAAAATCACGAATAGATGATCAATTTTGAATGGTTACAGGTTGTGAGTCGAGGATTGAACATTAAAATCGAATTCGATTGTGATGATTGTTCAAGTTAAGCATTGTAATTTTGTATCTAATGTTGAATTATGGAAATCAATGGTTTGGGGATGAACAAATATTGATTGGGATTTAAGGATTGAAGGTTGTGTAAGAATTGAAGTCTGTTAATGAAAAGTGAAGAGTAGGTGTCGATGATATGGATTTTGTCAACGAAGTTTGCTTGATTTGGAGTCGTGAAGTCGAGTTTATTTTAGTTTTGATGTCGATCTATGGATTTTTGATTGAGTGGTTCTATTTGGGAATGAATTGAAAATGAATAGGAATCGAAGATTTGGATTGCTTGTCGAAGGCTATGAGATGAAGAATTACATTTTGTGTTCATTGTTCATATTGGTCGAGGGAACCTATGATGAAAACGAAGGATGTTTGAGATCGTTTGCATCGATCATTTATGGTTGGATATTGATGTGAAAAGGGTCTGAAATTTCAAAGGCGTGGAGTCTGTATTCGTTAGTTTGGAGTCGAAGGGTTAGTAAATGTTTTGATATCGACTAATGATTTGAAGTCGATATGCGAAGCATGAGTTTTGAAGGATTCGTTTATGATGTGTCAAATTTAAATTTTGTGTTGATGTCGACTTTAACATCGATGTTTCGAAGTCTGAGTATTGGAATCAATGGTTGAATAGGTTTGACTCAGTTTCGTTGTCGACGGTCTAATGCTTGTTAACGAAGAATTGTAGTTCACTAAAAGCAAAAGGTCGTTACCTGCTAACAAAGTGAATTGAAGAAGAAAACAGAAGTTTGGAAGATATGGCAAAATTGGTCCAAATTCGAAATTGATGTAACAAATTGTGAAGAATGGCAAAATTTCTCTTTTAGCCTCTGTAGTTTCGAAATTTTGGCAAAAAATACCACAGTTCGAAATTGGGCTAACAAAGCTAAGAAATTGAAGAATTTATAAGTTCAGTCCTTGCAGTTGGTACAAACTTACACTTTATGCCCAGTTCGCAAATAGGGTAGAGTTTCACATCTTAAGCTGTTTTTGGCAAAACGGATCGCTGCAGAATTTAGAAAGTGATAGTTCTTACCCGGATTTTGGAAAATCTTGCAACTTTCACCAAAAAGTCGAAAATTTTCATAAATTGGAAAATTTTCAAGGCTTTTTCGTGATTGTTTTTCCATGCAATATTTTCAAGGTTTCATTTTTGGCACACATCAAGGGGGAGTTTTGTGAAGATTAATCCTCGGGTGCTTCTCACCCGTAATAAATTTTATAATCATTTTTTTATTATAAAAATGGGGAGAATGAAGAGTGGGTATTCGAAGCTTCGGGTATTCATTTGCGGATTTGTAGTTCGACATCATTTTGAGGGGGAGTTTAGTCTTGATCGTGCAAGCTAGTTGGATATTGAAGTCAGGACATCCAATCCTAACTTCAAGGGGGAGAATGTTAGGGTGTAAAGTTCTCCTTGGATGTGGCTTACCCTCTTGTATGTGTAAATGGGTTGAGTCTTTCCTATAATTAGGAAGTGAGTTACTCCCATTATGTAAGGAACCAATTGGAGAGCATTAGTCTTAAAGAGAGAATCTAGCATACCCATTTGTACTCTTTGTAATTCATACTAATGAGAGCTTAAAAGATTTATTTACTCCATGTGTTCATGATTTGTATGATGATTCACTAGATCTTTTCTTATTTCTCACATGTCATCATAATCAACACAACTACAGATTTTTAAAGTAGAATACCAAAATATGTAAAATTAATATATACCATTTAATGAATACGTTAATATAACCATTTTTTTGTTATGCAGGTGTGTGTCGATCGAATACACTTCAAGTATAACGAAGAAGAACAAAATTACTAAGTGATTAAAGAACTTAAAAGTAAATAACATAGAGGATACACCAAATTGTCTTTCACTAAAAAAAGGGGTTGCCACAAAGACGGTGACCAACACGATTCGGACACCAAGCTGTAGAGTTACATAAGGGTTTCACCCTAATGTTGAGTATATACTAATCTATACAAGTATATCCCTTGTTTAAAGGGATTGTATCTTATCTATACTATGAACCGATCCTCATTACAAAGATATCGGATCTGCTATCTATATATATATATATATATATATATATATATATATATATATATATATATCTGTATCATTACGTAATATACAAAAGATTACATAAAATAACTATAAGCTGATGCTGAAGGACTTCATACATTGGCGTTGATGGTGGTGTACGTGCTGACGCTGATAGATAACATGTATAGTGTTTGACTCATGAGATCATATGGTGTGACCTTACAATCCCCCCTATCTGATGATGTAAAAACTAATCTTCTTCACTAGAGTCATTAGAAGATCCATTGTAGAACTTGTTAGATTCTTTGAAGATCTTAGGGTTAACCCATCTGAATTCATCAATTTGAAGCTCTTCCAATAATTTACTAAGCTCCAGTGATATCAACACACTATATCCTCTTTCTAGTTCAAAATGACGTAGTCCTTCCATGTGAAGATGAAGCAAGTGTTCAGTGAGCTGATGGCGCAAGGTTCAACTTCTTGACTTTGTTGAGTAGTTGTTAGATTGCCAACTTCATCTCCTGAGCATGAATACCCTTGTGTTTCTCAATAATCTCGTGAATTTTCATCCACTCGTTGTAGCTAAATTTGACAAGCTCACGAACAAATACAACCTTAGTGTATCCATATTTAGTCTTCTTCTTGAATAAGTGAAACTTCAATGACTCATTCCTTGGCTTGGTGCATCTCACTTTGATAATGGGATCATGCTTTGTTCTATTAGTCAAAACATCTCCAAACTTCTTCGTATGATTCGGTCATTTAGGTCTGAAACCCTGTGTTGTTTCTCCAAACTATTATTGAAGAATTTAATTTTCTTGACTTGATCATTACTGCTTTCACCAACATAAGCAAAAGCTTGAGCTAGTTTGCAAGACATACGTTCTTTTTTTTTTCTAGCTTCTTTTTTTTGTTGAATAGCAACATTATTCTCTATCATGACCTCTCTTACTTCATCAATAGTTAAACTCCATAATTTAGCGAATTCATTCAGATAAAAAATGAGCTTGTTTTTCTTGGAATTGGGAGGTGTTGAAGGATCACCAGCCGTAGAAGAACTTTCAGCTTCAGTGTCATGAGTTCTCCCTGAGAATGAAGCCTTCCTGTTTCGAGTATTGAGTTCTCCCCGAGCATTGATCTGACCAGCTTCAATTTCATTATTCGTTCCTTGGGGAATCTCCCCCTCAAAATATGAATCGGGGTAGATGACATTCAAAGGAACAGCAGCTGGTGGCATGAATCCTATATAAAGAAACCCGTCATAGTCATCAGTCTCTGATTGATCACCAAAGTCTAGATTGGGCTGATTATCAGTTGTTTCACCAATGTCTTGAATGTTAGCAACAACAATATTCTTTTAAAGGTCAGCTTCTACCCTTCCAGTTTCAGACATCTCAGGCTGAGATGGAGTTGGTGCAATCACCACCATTTGCATTTGATGATCAAGACTCTCTTGATTTTTCTCCCCCTTTTTGGTAATATTAGATTGGAGAGGACAAATAGATGGTCGAGGAATATTCGTAGATGGTAGGGGAGGTGGACGTAAACTTGATGATGGAGGTAGAGCTGGATTTGATGATGGAGGTGGAGGAGGAGGAGGATTATCACCTAGAGAATTTGGTGGGGGTGTCATCAACAACCATATCATCAACATCATCATCAACCAAGGCCATAAAATGCTTCATATCAACCACCTACTTTTCTACTTTAGCCAACCTTTTCCTAGCGATTGAGTTAACTGCACTATTAAAGAGAGTTGAGAAAACATTGCAGTTTGAAAGTTGAATTGTATTCTTCTTGATCATCCTGATGAAAAGCAGGATTTGTAATATGTGTTGGCATAGGCGGAATAGTCTCAAATTAAGGAGAAGGGGACCTGCCCTTCATCGAGCCCCACTCGGTATACATATCTGTCAGTCAGTGGGCCCCACCCAGCATCGGGCCCCGCCTGGTATGCATATAAACATATAAATATATAATCATACAAACACATGCAATAATCACAAAGATAAATAGCATACATGATAGTCATTGAGCCCCGCTTGGTAAGCATACAATCACATAACACATTCAAGAGTCACGCATACATCTAGCATCCTAACATAACAAACCATGGGAAGACATTGTTTCCTTTGACCCACCAAACACAGTAAGGAAACTCACCTCTATCTGCAGAAATATGCAAAAGAATATCTATATGCTTGTCCAGAAAATCCCCGCGTTAACATAATCAAAATAGTATCCAATTATTAATTGGATCTCGAACCAGCCAAGAATCTAATCTAGTTAACCCATAACAAGGGTAAAAGACCATTTTACCATTTTTCTTACTTAGCCCAAAACCAAGGCCCAACCCAACTACTAAAAAGGCCGAAATCCTAAATGGTAACCCAAAGCCCAATTATGGCATAATCTTCCAAATTGGGCCCCAAACCCATCATGGGCCTAAATCCAAGGAAGCCCAAAATACTAGTCAAAAGCCTAAATCAAAAGTCTAATGGCCCAACAACGTGCACACTTAGAAAGCCCAAATTAAGGCCTACACGAAGACGGCCAAGCCCAAACGCCCCACTATTGAGTACGCGGGGCGTACTTAGCTCATACGCCCAACGTACTCCCCTGATTACTAGATCTCTTCATTAGGCACTTAATCAGTTAAGACCTTTTGCTATACTCTCAGATATGGTTCCTAAGGGTGACTTATCACGTAAAGATGGCAACTTTACACACATGCATGGCTTAATGGGACCCAATACTAAAAAAGAAGCATAATAGAGATCTTAATACATGCATGGACCAATATCCTTCATAAAGTTTGAATTTTTATGAACATGGGGCCTAAATGGAGCTAAAATCTAGCATCCATTGCTTCTGGAGTAGATCAAAAGCTCAACTTTAACTCAAAAGATTCAAAATTGCACAAATAAAACCATAAACTAGATCTAGTACGGAAGACCATCAAGGTGATAGCTTTTTACCTCAAAAGGCTTGCAAATGAGAAAGTAATTCTAGATATACTAGCACAAGCTATCCCGCCAAGCAATCACCAAGAGTCTTCTTCTTCTTCTTCTTTCACTAAAACACCACCAAAATCACACTTACAAGTTCAAAAATCACAAGAGGCACTTAGGGTTTCGATTTAAGGGTAAAGGGAGTTAGAGGCTAGTCAAACATGTCTAAGAGGTGTTATAATGAGGTTTAAATAGGGTGCAAACGCTAAAAATTAGGGTTTTCCCAAACTATGTGTATGACCAGCATACGTGGGTGATGCCCGCGACTAACAAAGGTTAGTATACTAAGCGTACTCATAGAGTACACCCCACGTACTAGCCAATGACCAAAATGAAAGAAATTTGCTTAAAATGGCTAACAGGAAACTTACCAAAAACTTGAATGTTACAATTTTCCCCCACTTGAATAAGACTATGTCCTCAAAGTCCACCGCCTCAAATAACTATGGGTAGTGCTCCCTCGTATCGTCTTCTGACTCCCATGTCCATTTTGAACCTTTGCGGTGCTGCCACTGGACCTTCACTAACTTAATGACCTTGTTCCTTAAGGTTTTTGTCTTCCGGTCAACAATTGCCACCGGTCTCTTGATATAATTCAAGCGATCATTCACCTGAATATCCTCCAATAAAACCACCACATAATCATCTAATAACCACTTCCGCAACTAAGCGGCGTAGAATGTGCTATGGATCTAAGTAAGCTCTTCAGGAAGATCCAAGAGATAAGAAACCATGCCTACCTGCGCCAAAACCCAGAAAGGAGCGATGCACCTTGGGCCCAATTTGACACTCTTCCTAAATCGGATGAAACTTTTTCAAGGTGACTCATTCAAAAGAACCAGGTCCCCAACATGGAACTCTAAATCTGATCGGCGCTTTTCTATATAGCTTGTCTGCCGACTCCAAGCTATCTGGAGTCTACTCCGAACTTGCTCTATCATCTTAGTAGTCTTGAGTACCACCTCGATACTACCTATGACCTGCTACCCGACCTCACCCTAACAAATTGGGGTCCTACATTTCCTCCCATAGAGCATATCAAAAGGAGGTCGATCGATGTTGTAACAACGTAAATTTTTAAAACAAAATTTTCATTTTTGCAACATCAAAAACCATCGTTTAATATTCCAAATTCAAACGTGAACAATGTTATCATAAACAAATACATCCCATGATCATAAAAACAGTTTCTCCGACAGTGTGTACAATCACGCCGGTGCCTTCCCATGGTCCTCACTAGTACCTGAAACACATAACACAATAATTGTAAGCATAAATGCTTAGTGAGTTCCCTAAAATACAACTTACGCACATACGCCTTTCCAAGCCCTGACCTTCCGGTCCATGTGTCTCAGGGGACTTCCGTCCCGACTAGGTAAACCTTCCGGTCCTACTTGCATCAACCTTACGGTTCACATCACAGCCCCTTCCGGCCCATAACATATACGCCTTCCGGCCCATAACATAATGCCTTCCGGCCCATATCAAGCATATCATACATGGAACATATAAACGATTAACTTATCACATACAATGCATATAACTCATAACATATCCGACCTTCCGGTCACACAATAAAACCCTTCCGGGTACAATATAGTGAGAAAACTCACCTCGTGGAAAGTCTAAGATCTCGCGTACTCGCTATCTCCAAATCCCAACGACGACTCTACCTCGCCTAATCATAAAAATATCATTTCAATAATTAAAGACTTCCACAACTAAACTCTACCCCTTATCATCATTCCTCAGAGGGTAAAAGACCATTTTACCCCTCCTTGACCCAAAGTCTTCATATTGACAATAATCCTAAAAGTCAACAAAAGTCAACCCTTTTTAGTACGCGGGGTGTACTGCTTGATGTACACGGGGCATACATCGCCAACCTAAGGATCGGGGTTTCCACCCAGTACGCTGCGCGTACTGGGAGTTACGCCCAACGTAACCATCAGACTTCAACATACATCATTTCTGGTCTTAATCGGTGAAGACATTGCACCAGCTTCTAGATCCGACTCTGTTTATGCGTCTATACCCATAAAGTCGAGATCTTTAAGCCTTGGCATGGCTGTAAAGGCTCCAACACTTCTCAACATCATTCTATTCCAACTCAAGGACCTAGATCTCATGCATGGTGCAACATTCACGTCCAAGATATCGTTTTTATGAGTCTACAACTCCAATAGACCAGAAATATGATGGATCTAAGCTTATGGAGACCATTTGCACAAAAAGCCTCCACCTTTGGGACTAAAACCCTAGAAAATGGTACTTGAAGCATATAACATGAACCATATGACAAGATCCAAACTTTTTACCTGATAATGAAGCTTCAACCCTTGCAAAGCTCAGATCCACACTTGAACACCACTTCTAGCCTTCCCAATGAGCTCTTCTTCTCATTTGCTACCTTGGAATGGCACCACCAAGCTTAGAATACTCACAAAATGGCCTAAGAACGAATGCACACTCTCTTTAGGGTTTCTCTCTGAGGGATGGTGGCTGAGAAGTCCAACCACACATTCCTTTTATAGCCCTCCAAATCAATTAGGGTTTTTAGGTCTGGACCGGTTACGCCCAACGTACCTGAGGGTGAATGCGTCCAAATGAAGTGCGCGAGTATGCGCAGCGTACACCTTGTACGCCCAGCATACTCGCCTAACATGAAAGCCCTAAAATGACAACATATCAAAGATGCAGGGCCAAATAGAAGGATACCTGGATTTCGGGCTGTTACAATTCCCCCCACTAGAAGCAGTCTTCGCCCCCGAAGTCTCATACTGAAAAAACTCCGGATACTGATCCCGCATCTCAGACTCGGACTCCCATGTCAGCTCGGACCCCTTCCGATGTTGCCACTGCACTTGTACCAAGGGTACTTCCTTGTTCCTCAGAACCTTAACCTTCCGATCCCTGATCGCCATTGGTCTCTCCACGAGTTCAGCCCTGCATCCACCTGAATATCATCTAATGGCACCACTGCTGACTCGTCGGCAATACATTTCCTCAAATGCGAGACGTGAAAGGTATTATGGATTTGTCCTAACTCAGCAGGTAGATCCAACCGGTAGGCTACACTGCCTACCCTAGCAATTACCTTAAAAGGTCCAATATATCGGGGTCCTAACTTGCCCCTCTTCTTGAATCGTATCACTCCTTTCCAAGGAGAGACCTTAAGGAGCACAAGGTCACTAACCTGAAACTCGAGCTCGGAACGACGCCTGTCCGCATAACTCTTCTGGCGACTCTGCGCGGTCAACAATCTCTACCTGACCTGCTGAATCTGCTCGGTTGTCTGGAGTACAATCTCCATGCTACCCATCACCCGCTGCCCCACCTCTCCCCAGCAGATGGGGGTGCGACACCTCCTCCCATACAACAGCTCAAAGGGTGGCATACTAATGCTCGAATGATGGTTGTTGTTGTACGAAAACTCCGCTAAGGGTAAATAGGTGTCCCAACTCCCTCCAAAATCCAAAACACATGCTCAGAGCATATCCTCAAGCATTTGAATCGTCCGCTCGCTCTGTTCGTCCGTCTACGGGTGGTATGCGGTACTAAAATACGGCCTCATACCCAACTCCTCATGAAACTTCTTCCAAAACTTGGAAGTAAATCGTAC